GGTATACTTTTAGAATTGCCTTTTCATATGAATGGATTGCTCTGTGTGTGTCTCTGTGTTCATATACCTGTTTCCAAAACCCAGTTTTGGCTGCCTAGCACTTCAAAGGTCAATACTGAAGAGACAAGTGGTGACTGGAAATGATCATAATCTTTACTCAGGAGGCTGGCCACCTAGGGAGAAGGTGGGCTCTCATACAAACGCCAGCTCTGAGGTTTCTGCCTTGCCCGTGGGTTTTTAAAGTTAGGACAGTGAACCAGTATAGGGAATACATTGGTCCGCAACATTTCTTGACTACATGCAGGTTCGATGGTACTATCTATAGATGGGATCACAGTGCTGGGAGGTTGTGCAAGGGGTCTGGTTCCTTAGTACTTACAGGTTGTGCTAAAGGATCTGTATTGCTTTGTGGCATTCACAAGTGCTCAGCTCATCCTAGGAGGGAATGCATGATCTACAGATAAACAGGTGAATCAATCATGTAGGCTAAGGTGCTTGTTAAACCTTCAAGATTACTAGGTTGGCTGGAGGGCCAGAGGTGGCTTCACCCATAGTTTTTCTTACTATTGAACTTTCTAGTCAGGTTCTTCTTTCCAGCTTGTCTCTTCACTGAGATGGAAGACCCTGCTGGCAAGCCATCCCCTGATGGGAACCAAAACTACCCCCTGTAGTACTAAGGACTGCCCTGAGCCAGCAAGTCCCCACCCATGACTGACACCAGGACAAGGATCTGTTTGAGTTTCTCTGCCTACCTGCAAGTACCCACTTACCTTGGCCCCACATTTTCCTTCTATAAACCCGGAAGTGTTTTGAGCACTTTGGCGTCAGTCTTTGAGAGGTTAGTCCACTGTCTTCCTTCCGTTGTCCTAAGATTCCTTTCTTAGCCCCATTTGTTCCTCGGCCTCTGGATTTTGTCATGAGGCAGGGACCTAACCTAGTACAATTGGGGCACTCAGGGTAGGTGCTCTCGCACCCCTGTGCCCGGACAGCACAACCAAGTCATAATCTGTGGACAAACTTGGGCCTCACGTTTTTCCCTTAAAATAATCGCGGACAACCTAATCCGCTGTTTATTCCAGTCTATACCCCGTCACCCGCAAGAGGCGCCAGAGCGGTCATGAAGGTGTACGCGGGAGGAATGGAGGACTCACCTGCGGACTGTGCTGTGTCCCTGAGGGGCACGGAAGGCCAGAGCTCTGGACAGAGCATTGCCTTAAGGACTGATGGTGGGAACTTCGCCTCCAGCTAAGTACGGGTACTCAACAACTTCGAGGTGTCTCCTCTGTGCACCACCCCTGCCTCCCAGCCGGCACCAAGACCCCCCGGCAGACCCCTTCCTGGCATAGCCTCGGAGATGAGACCATGATCCCGCGTGTGTCCGTGGGGTGGGAAAGGCCTCCGCATGTTCCCACACACCAGACTTAGGGAACCCCTTCTTTCTGGTAGAGGCCCCATAGGGCCTCGACTCCTCTACTTTGGAGAGGGAGGCCAGCCCTGATCCGGATGTTCCGGGTAAGCCGCCACCCAGCCCTTCCCGGGCGGAAATCCCTGTCTTTTCCGTGAGAGGCCCCGCCCCAACCGGCTCCTAGTCCTTCCTGGCCCGGGGGTGGGGGGGAAGACCGGAAGTGGCCCAGCGACCGCGCCCCCTTCCCCCGCCCAGTTGGCTTCTCCGTGAGACAGCTTCCTGGAAACACATCCCAGATTGGCTGCGAGATGCACGGAAGGTCGACTCTGGGGACCCGCAGTCAACTATTATAGAAAGAGAAGGAATTAAATCACTTGGAGGCTGGCGTTCCACAGTGAGAATTTCTTCCAGTGTACTGGGTGGGATCGGAGGATGCGACTCTGAACTCAGCAGGTGGACACGAAAACCTTGTCGCTCTCAGGTGAGACCGTCCAGACTGACCACAGTCACCAGTCAGGGTGTTCAGGGACGTCCCTCCCCTCTGGCCTGTCAGGATTAACGTCTGCCTGTGAGGCTCCTGCAGACCTCGTCAGCTCCCAGCCCCCACAGCTGCTGTCTGCCTGGCCTTGTCACATCTCCTGCACACGCCAAGGTTTAGTTTTCCTCCAAACACCCAAGTAGTTTTTCAGCGCCTTCTCAGCACATCCACTCTCACCATGGGAGAATTTAGTTTGTAAATAGGCAAATACTATAAAGTGGGGCTGGATTTTTTGTATTTCTGAATTCTGCACGTACCAAAGTCCGGACATGATGGTAAGAATGCACCCTAAACTTAAACATGTGTGGTTTTTTGGTCATGACAGTGCAGGATACAAAAGTATCTGAGGAAAATAACGAACAGCCTTCCAGTACTCAGAAACAGTTACTCCATATAGAAAAATGATGATCAACCTATTTAAAACCCAGGACAACTCCAACATACCGCTACTAAAAACCAATACTCTTGAACTCTACACTAAAACTAATGTGCTATATTAGGTTTGGCTAATTGCATTTAAATAAATAAAATACTCGACTTAGCAAATCTGAAGATCAGATTGTCTCTACTGAACAATTATGAATTGGACAGCATCCCATCTAACAAATAGAAAGGGAATCAAAGGGCCAGAAAAGTTTTAAAGGCAGGACAGGCAGGACAAGGACGTCATGAAAACAAAAAAAGATTATTTGGGCAAAGTCACCTCCTTTTGGGGGAAAATGGAGACTTCTTAGGAGGATTACTTCACCACAGGGACCAGGAAACTTTAGGCTGACCGAGGAAAAGTGAAAAACTGCAATCACATTAGCTATCAAGTCCCGGTTTGGTGATACAGTGGTAGCAAAGTGACTCCATTCTAAGCCTGTGGTTTTCTTTTAAACATGTCTTTGTTTTACTGTCTTATTTGTAAATGAAAAGGAAAATACTGTAACTCACATACAAGAAAATAGGAAAATAATGTTAATGGAAAATAAAAAAGATTCTTTTTTTTTTTTAAAGATTTTTTTATTTATTTGTCAGAGAGAGAGAGGGAGAGCGAGCGAGCACAGGCAGACAGAATGGCAGGCAGAGGCAGAGGGAGAAGCAGGCTCCCTGATGAGCAAGGAGCCCGATGTGGGACTCGATCCCAGGACGCTGGGATCATGACCTGAGCCGAAGGCAGCTGCTTAACCAACTGAGCCACCCAGGCGTCCCAAAAAAGATTTTCAACCGGCAAGTAAGACATTAAAAAATGCTCAAAATCCTGAATCCTTCAGGAAATGCAATTAAAACTATACTACACAGTTATTACATTGGGCAAAATTAAAGGATGGCCACATCGAGTACTGGCAGGGTTGCAGAAGAAGTGGACTTTTCATCCACTGCTAATGCAAATGCAAAAGTGAACAATCATTTTGATTGCAGCAGTTTTTTCAAAAGTTAATATTCACCTGTCCTGTGACTCAGGTACTGAACATTAAATTACTGACAAAAATAAAAACAGCTTACATCTATTTAAAAGTACTGACACAAATGTTTTTGACTCCTTTATTTTCAACAGGCAAAATCTAGAAATAACTTAAGTGCCCATAAAAAGATGAATAAACTAACAGCGGTATATGCCAACACAGAACATCACTGATGAAAGACTAATTACAAACCACAAAGGAAATCACAGAGGGGTGGGGCAGAGTAAACAGTTCAATTCCAAACATATAAATAACAAAAGATGGATGGTTCCCATTGTAAAACAAAGTACAGTGGTTTCCCGGAGAGGTGGATAGGGTAAGGAAAGATTGTAGTAGGCCAGAGGTAAATAAAGCATGACATACATGGTCATTATCAGGATTATGATGGTGGCAGAGATTTATATCCTTGTCAAAACTTATCAATTGTACACTCTTTTTTTTTTTTTTAAAGATTTTATTTATTTATTTGACAGACACAGATCACAAGTAGACGGAGAGGCAGATAGAGAGAGAGAGAGGAGGAAGCAGGCTCCCTGCTGAGCAGAGAGCCCGATGCGGGACTCGATCCCAGGACCCTGAGATCATGACCTGAGCTGAAGACAGCGGCTTAACCCACTGAGCCACCCAGGCGCCCCTCAATTGTACACTCTTAAATATATACAGTTTATTAACATCTGTAATTTAAACCTTTATATAGTTTTAAAAATTGCCTCAAAATAAAAATAGGTTTGGCAACCTTATGCTGACAGTACCACCCTGTTCCATGTCCTCCGGGCGTCAGTCTTACTTCAGTGTCTGCAGACACAGGCAGCAGTGAAGGACAGTTCCGCTGGTGTTAACAGGAACACTGCCTGGATCTAAAGGGCCACATCAACAAACTACTGACTCCCCCCCCCCCCCCGTCCCTTTTACTCTCTCGTATTCCTCTCTGTGTAGTACTGGCCTGGACGCGGAGAACACAGGGGCTAAAAGGATCGCCAATAGCTTTCAATTATTTTCTCTGACAATGACTTTACCTACACAAGATAAATATGCCTGGAGGTCCTGAGATTTGTGTACACACTGATCCTACAGTCACCGTCACAGAAACTTGTCTGGATCCATTTCTAGAAGAGGCACATTCCATCCAGTTGGCTGCAGCCTCCTCCCCTTCCTGTTAAGTGTTTCTGTACCAATTATGGTTTCTCCTGCCCACTGTGGTCTTTCAACCAGTGACCCGAGCCCAATGGGTTGTGGACATCAGGGCACATGACTGCTTGTAAAGCCGGGATTAATAAGCTCTCAACAGTGCTGACATCCCTGTGAGACCCCCTTCGAGTAAGGGAAGAAATTCAGGTCACTGGCAGAAGCACTAAAAGTCTCACACCTGCTCCCTCCTGGGGCTCGTCACTGAGGCTCCTAAAACACACATTGTCCAGACCTGAAACGAAAACCAGAAAGCCCCGCAGTTTTTGCTAGGAGGCTGTGAGGCAGCAATCAATGCAAATTTAGTCCAAACTGGCAGGCTACTGGCACAACCTGGCTGGCTCAGTAGAGCTTGATTCTTTTTTTTTTTTTTTCCCCCTCCCCGTAGAGCTTGATTCTTGATCTTGGGGTTTTGAGTTTGAGCCCCAAGTTGGACACAAGAGTTTACTTTAAAACAAAACAAAACTGGCAAGCTATTTCCTGCCATCCTCCACTTCCTCCTCAAGCACAGCTAGTTTGAGACTCTTTGAAGTTTACCATTTGATGCTTGTTGAGCCCAAATCTATTTATACACTACTCCACACAGTAAGTAGAACATTCATGATTAAAGACTTAAACAGTAAGGCCTTGATTATCATTTTATCCAAATCAATGTGGAGAAGACAGTTCTCTAGTTTGTGACTTGGAAGCTGGAAAAACTCATCACAAGTATCACATGCGATCAACATGTTCCTGAAAAAAGGTAGCCATTCTCTGTAAGCTGCCGGCCAAACTCATGATGTTCTCTGGGTCATCACTGCTGCAAGTCCATGACATGAAGGTATTCAAGGAGGGAAAGCTGACCCCCAAAAGACCTCAAGTTACTGCTAATCTGCTCCAGTTCATGAGAAGAGAGGTCAGCTTCTCTGAGTACACTGGGGTGAAGACTGATGTGCACTGTGCGGACCTACCAGTTGGCAGAGGTGAAAGGGTCACAGAACTGTCAGTTACATAAATCTAGAGAGCTCTCTGGACAATTTAGAAAATGCGACATGGCCACACATACTTCCAACATAAATTTAAGAAACTTCCCCACAGTAAAAGATTCAAATCAGGCAAAAGGCTCCTCAAAGGGGCTGCCTGGGTGGCTCAGTGGGTTAAGCCTCTGCCTTCAGCTCAGGTCATGATCTCGGGGTCCTGGGATCGAGTCCCGCATTGGGCTCTCTGCTGGGCAGGGAGCCTGCTTCCTCCTCTCTGTCAAATAAATAAAATCTTTAATTAAAAAAAAAGCCTCCTCAAAGAGTTTTCACCAGTGGCATTATGCTGAATAAGGAAATTGCATATTCATTATAGAACCATGCCTTTCTCTAGTGTGAACTCTCCAATGTTGAGAGAGGTTAGATTTTCCCCTAAACGATTTCCCACATTCACTGCACTCATAAGGTCGTTCTCCAGTGTGAACCCTGTGATGGTAAGAGAGAGCAGTACGAGTGATAAAAGATTTCCCACATTCCCTGCACTCATGAGGCCTTTCTCCAGTGTGAACTCTCTGATGATAATGGAGGGCAGTACTACTTATAAAAGATTTTCCACACTCACTGCATTCATAAGGCCTCTCTCCTGTGTGAATTCTCTGATGATAATGGAAGCTGGAACTAAAAGTAAAAGATTTCCCACATTTGTTGCATTTGTAAGGGTTTCCTCCATTATGAATTCTCTGGTGTATTGAGAGGGAATGTTTTTGTCGAAAGGATTTCCCACATTCACTGCATTCGTAAGGTCTTTCTCCTGTGTGACCTCTGTGATGATACCGGAGTGCAGAGCTAGAAGTGAAAGATTTCCCACATTCACTGCATTCATAAGGCCTTTCTCCTCTGTGGGATCTCTGATGATAACTAAGGGCAGAGCGAGAGGTAAAAGACTTCCCACATTCACTGCACTCAAAAGGTTTTTCTCCAGAATGAACCCTATAATGATACTGGAGTTCATACCTACAAATAAAAGATTTCCCACATTCATTACACTCATAAAACCTTTCACCTGAATGAACCCTTAGGTGCATATTGAGGCTATTTCTTCGGGTAAAGGACTTGCCACATTCATTGCACTCATGAGGCCTTTCTCCAGTGTGAACTCTGCGATGATACTGAAGAGCACTATGAGTGCTGAAAGATTTCCCACATTCACTGCACTCATGAGGCCTTTCTCCAGTGTGAACTCTCTGATGATAATGGAGGGCAGTACTACTTATAAAAGATTTTCCACACTCATTGCATTCATAAGGCCTTTCTCCTGTGTGAATTCTCTCATGATAATGGAAACTGGAACTACAAGAAAAAGATTTCCCACATTTGTTGCATTTGTAAGGGTTTCCTCTACTATGAATTTTCTGGTGTATTGAGAGGGAATGTTTTTGTCGAAAGGATTTCCCACATTCACTGCATTCATAAGGTCTTTCTCCTGTGTGACCTCTGTGATGATACCGGAGTGCAGAACTAGAAGTGAAAGATTTCCCACATTCACTGCATTCATAAGGCCTTTCTCCTCTGTGGGATCTCTGATGATAACTAAGGGCAGAGCGATAGGTAAAAGACTTCCCACATTCACTGCACTCAAAAGGTTTTTCTCCAGAGTGACTTCTATAATGATACTGGAGTTCATACCTACAAATAAAAGATTTCCCACATTCATTACACTCATAAGGCCTTTCACCTGAGTGAACCTTTAGGTGCATGTTGAGTCTATGTCTTCGGGTAAAGGACTTGCCACATTCACTGCACTCATAAGGCCTTTCTCCAGTGTGAACTCTGTGGTGATAATGGAGAGCAGTATGAGTGCTGAAAGTTTTCTCACATTCATTGCACACAAAGGACTGTCCTCCAAGGTGAACACCCTGGTCCCGTGTATCTGTGTGTTTGGGACCAAAGGCGTTCTCGCATCCTCCCCAAGCACCACGACTGCTTTCACATTGTAACGTTGCCCTGCACTGGGGGATCATATGTGGTTTCTCCCCAGTACGAGTGGCCTCTTGCCCCAGATGCCCCGAGCCAGACAGCAAGTCCTTCTCCACCTCTCCACAGGTAAAGGGCTTTCCCGAACCACCGGATCCCCAGCTCTTGACAGCAGAGGCCCTGTCCACACGGCTTCTGAATGGTTTTGCTCCCGCGGGCTGCTCCTGCTGCTGCTGCTGCTCCAACTTCACACTGAAAGAAAATCGTTTCCTGCAAGCCCCACAACTCAACTGTTTCTGTCTGTTTTCTTTCCCCTGGAGCTCAGCCAAGTGGAAAATATCTCTCAAGACGGGACCACACATCTCACAGGGGTGGGTCTTCCGGAAAGACGGAGCGGCCCTGGGTGTCCGGGTCTGGGACATGCCTACAGAAGCGCTCTGTGCAAAGGGGGCCTCCTCATCCTCTTCTCCACAGCAGCAACCTGAACGCAGAGAAACGCTGGTGAAACATGTGCTGGCTGTAGCAAGGGGTGAGCCCATCACACACGCATCTGGCTCATCTGAGCATGAGTGTATGGCAGGCTTTTCCAGACACCAGAGATGGAACACAGTTGAAGGAGTGGCCGCTGAGCACTCCTGGGCCCCTAAGGTCAAAGTATCATGGTACGCGCACTAGCCAGAAGAATACAAAACTAAGGTATGACACAAGGGAGAGAGCTAGGATCTATAACTTACTCTCTGTCCACAGCTTCATGTTGGCCTGTTTCTTGGCTGAGTAGAAGAATGGGGGAAAATCTACTTACAAGAAATTTGCTGCTGTTCAAAGTCAATTTAAGCATATGTCTACGTCTCATGGCAAACTGGCCAAGTGTGGATGCTGGGGTACACAGAAAGGAAAGAGCACTGGGAGAAATGGGTGAGATGTAGAGGCCTGAGAAGCTCTGATTACCCCCACACTGCAAGTCATGGAATTACCAAAGGAGTAGATCCCAGAAGTCCACAAATTGTCAACAGTGAAGAAGGAAAGACAGAAATGGGGTGTGGTCACTGGCAATCACACCAGACTCTGGCTGAACAAACAAAGGTGCCCAGTATGATATGAACACAGAGCTGATATCACACCTTTCCCAACTGCCATTCAGGAGAAACAGGGCCCTGTGCCTGTGAGCCCACCTGGTCATGCTGGAGCATGTCCATGCTATGACACACAAAGGACTCTTCCCTATAAGCCTTCCTGAGCAACTACAGGGTACTAGGAGGATAGAAATACTGTAGGAAAGGAAGTCTGGGTGGCTTTGTTGGCCATCTGACCCTTGATCACAGCTTAGGTCTTGATTGCAGGGTTATGAGGTCAAGCTCTGTGTTGGGCTCTGTGCTGGGTGTGGAGCCTACTTAGGAAAAGAAAAAAAAGAAAAAGAAAGAGAAGAAAAAAAAGGAAAGAAAGGGCAAGGGAAAGGAAAAGGAAAGGAAAGTAAGGAATGGGAAGGAAAGGAAAGAAATACTGGAGGAAAACAGGCTAAGTGGATGGCCAGCACTGTCCCAGCGCTACTCAGGATATGAAGGACCCAGAGAAGCACCCTATGTGACTGATGTCAGCAGAATGGTAGAAGTGGAGATACCATCCTTCGCCCCACCAAAAATGAATTCAAGAGCTGCCCATGAATGACATTAGCTTCAGAGGGATCAAAAATCCAGTTAAGACCAATTACTACACAGTGGGGCATAAAGGAGAGCACAAGCATGCAGAAAGGACAGCTGGAGACTTTATTAGCAGAGATGTGGGGACAGGTCAGAAGGGCTGGTCCTGTCTGTATCAGTTACACCAGGCAGGTGCTACTGCGGTCCCTGCTCAGCCAACTCACGCCACCTTCCCCACAGGGGACACTGGCATTCTATGCCACTGAGTTGACCAACATGCATCACTGTCATGGACCCAGTGGCTATAAAGCTTCTGCATCCGGCTCCCCCTGCTCCAGAGCTGCTGCTGTGCACCTCCAGGACAAGGACCGTGACTGCGCCCCCCCCCAAAGCTGCACGTGTCCTGGGCCCCAGATCTTCATTCCAGACCCTGACCCCCAGTTGCATTGGGTCCACTGACGACTCAAGGGAGTGGAAATACCCTCCAGATAGGCTAGCATGATGCCAGGGCCTCAGAGCCACTGGGTCTCCATGCACACACAGACACCCAACTTTATGGCTGCAACTCACAAAGTAAATGAACGCGACTGAGTTGTAATCAGTGTCCCAGGGCCCAAAACTGCTGTCACTCTAAAAAAGCCTGCACACCAGACCCTCTTCTGTGGCTGCTCCACGAGTGCCAGCCCATCAGATGCCGGGGCCGCTGCCACCACCCCAGGGTACCCAAGACTCGGACTCGGCACCGACCTCAACTCTGCCACGATACTCTCCTGGAAAAAAGCCACCAGGCGTTCCTCAGCAGTCTCCTCTGCTGCTTTGGACACTGCAGCCTTGGCCATCCGGCTCTCTTCCCGAGGCCTTGCCGGTGCTGACGGAGGCCCGAGAGTTTATTGTTGGGCCCTCCCCAGGCCCAGAACGGTCATAACACATGAAGCTGACACCCTTGCACCCACCTGTCGGTGAAGGACCCTCCTGACCAAAAGTACCACAAACTCTGGAAGGAGCGACCACACCATCAAATGTGCAAACATGAACGCAAGGATGTAAGAAACAAAAAATCAAGGAAACATAACACCATCAAAGGAATACAGTAATTCGTCAGAAAACAGAGTCAAGGAAATGGAGACATGAGACCTATCAGACAAAATTCAAAATAATTGTTTTAACAAAGTTTAGTGAGGCACAAGAAAACACAGGTTGGGGCACCTAGGTGGTTAAGTGGGTTAAGCCTCTACCTTCAGCTCAGGTCATGATCCCAGGGCCCTGGGATCGAGCCCCGCATCGGGCTCTCTGCTCAGCGGGGAGCCTGCTTCCCCCTCTCTCTCTGCCTGCCGCTCTGCCTGCTTGTGATCTCTCTCTCTGTCAAATAAGTAAATAAAATCTTAAAGAAAAAAAGGAAAAGAAAACACAGGTAGACGACTCAACAAAAGAAGATACACAATAAACAAAATAAGCTGTTCGGCACAGACACAGAAATCGTAGACACGAACCGCGCGGGCTGGCCAAGGATGCCGTGAGGGGTAGTCGCTCGTGGTCAGACGAGGCTGAGCGGAGTGAGCAGCAGACTCACCTGAGGGTTGCATGCTGGAGCCACACCTTCATCCGGCTGCCTGGATGCCACAGGGGCTGCCCCGCAGAGGTCCCAGACATCAGCAGAGAGGAGCGGCAGGGGGTGCAGGCACGCCACACTCTATACCCGCAATACAGGAGAGTTCCGGGTGTGCCCACTCTCCAAAAGGAGGGTCAGATATAAGCAGTGACATGTGAATCAATTAATAGTTGGCAACAGCCCACCCAATCACGGATGGGGCTCCTAATATGAGACCACAGGCAGCTGGGAAGACATCAAACTACGAGGACATGGAGCACTACAGAGCATAATACATACCTGTACAACACTGAATCCTCTTAATGCCACCTCTCTCTTAAGAAGTAGGATGGCAGGTAACGAGTGGGACAGAAGAATGTTTCTGTCTTTCTAAACAGACTATCCTTAATGAACTGGTCTTTGTAGCAGAACTGTTTGACTCATTTTTTAAAAAGATTTTATTTATTTATTTATTTGAAAGAGAGAGAGAGCATGAGAGGGGAGAGGTCAGAGGGAGAAGCAGACTCTGCTTCTGCTGAGCAGGGAGCCCAATGAGGGACTCACTGGTGGGACCCCAGGATCATGACCTGAGCTGAAGACAGTTGCTTAACCAACTGAGCCACCCAGATGCCCCTCAACTCACTCTTCGTGTTAGAAAACTTCCCACAGGGCAGCACCAGCATAACCAGCCTGTGCTTTTGAAGTCTCTTCTTACAAGTTACCAGAGTGACTTATGTGACCTTCCACTGTTGGGACTTGATTAGGTGGGCATTAAACTCATCAGGCACAATTCAACCAACCAGAACCAAGATGGTATATGTATTTGTTTCGTCTTAGGTGTCTAGCTCTGAGAGATCAACTAGATGGAAATGCTGGAGACCCATTTCATTTGCAGCAAAGATGCTTTGCTTTGCTTCTGTCAAAGGACTAGGACTATGGAAGGCTTAAACCACAAGTTTAGTTCATTGTACTTTTGTATTGCCCTTGCTTTCTGAGGATTCAAACTTACACCTATTGCATCAGAAGAAACATTTCAATAAAATGTCCTTTGAATATTAACTACTACAATCATCTGATGACTTTCTTTTTTTAATATTTTATTTATTTATTTATTTGACAAAGAGAGGTCAAAAGTAAGCAGAGAGACAGGGAGGGTGGGGGAAGCAGGCTCCCCGCTGAGCAGAGAGTCCGATGCAGGGCTCAAACCCAGGACCCTGAGATCATGACCCAAACCAAAGGCAGAGGATTAACCCACTGAGCCACCCAGGCACCCCCATCTGATGACTTTCTTATCCTCTAACTAAAAGTTACTCATTTGAGATGCTGTTTGGTTAGAATCAAGGTCCCTTGTATATTTATGATACAGGTGATGGAAACCATCCCAAAGTGGCTATTTTAGAATACATACAGGGGCATCTGGGTTAAGCGTCTGGTTTGGGCTCAGGTCATGATACTAGGGTCCTGGGATCAAGCCCCACATCGGGCACTGTGCTCAGAGGAGAGTCTGCTTCTCCCTCTCCCTCTGTCCCTCCCCTCTGCTTAAGCTCACACATGCTTTCTCTCAAATAAATAAAATCTTTAAAAAGAGAGAGAGAATACATGTAGAGAAATGACTTTAGTATGATATAAACTACACAATAAAATGGAAATTTCATATATTTGCAAAAATTCTGTGTTGGTAAAAATTAACTTAACCTCCGGTATTAAATGTTTGCATTAAAATAAGATGGTAACACTGTCCCATTAAAAAAATAGGGGGAAAGAGAAGAGCCCAAGATGGCGAAGGAGTAGGAGACCTTAGATTTGTCTGGTCCCAGGCATTCAGCTAGATAGCTATCAAATTATTATGAACACCTGTGAACTCAACTGGAGATCTAAGGAAAGAACTGCTGCACGTCAACAAACAGAAAAGCGACCATTGTCTGCGAAGTAGGAGGTGTGGAGAAGGGAATCCGAGGTAATACATCAGAAGATAAACCATGGGGGTAGGATGCCTCTGGAAGGGGGCCAACGGAAAGTGATATACAAAATCAGAACATTTAGAAGGCTGTTCCAGTGAGGGGATGTCCCTGCCTGAAAGGAGCTCAGGTGGCGAGCAAGGTAGAATCCTAGGTGGGACTGTGTAGTCTCAGGATTCCCGGGGGTCACAGAAAGAACTGGGGTGCCTGAGTGCAGCAGAGTTCCCAGGCATTGGAGTGGGGAATCCGGCTGCAATCAGGGAGCCCAAGAGTGGGGTCCCAGCTCAGTGCTGCCATA